CGGGCTGGTGTGGCCGAGCACGTCCTGGAGACGTCCGGCATCCTCTGCTCCCTGCGATGCCGCCCGGGACCCGGCGGAGCCTGCACGGGGCTGCCTGATGAGGAGCAGGGCTGTGATCCTGTGAGAAAACGGGGCGAGGAAGGGCAGTGTGGGGGCTGCGAGCTGGAGCGCAGGGGCTGCGGGGAGGGGACGGGTGCCACCATGCACACCCTGCTCACTGCACGCGGTGGGTGCAAACCCCCTCCCTGGCTCTGCCTGCCCCGCCAGCAAAGGTTTGGTGTTGGGTGGGTCCGGCAACACGCGCTGCCCACGAAGGGTCCTGTGCCGAAAGCGGGCACGGCAGCGGTGAGCGCGCGGGGCTGGCAGCAGCGTACGCTTCGCGGGGGCTCGGGGGTGTCTGTGCTAACGCAGGCTAACAACTTGCCCTTAAATATCCTAGGCTAGGCGAAGCCTCTCTGAATGATGTCACTCTGTAGCCATCTCAAAATATCTTGGAGGCACAAAGCGTCATTTTAATGGAGGATGAAGAGTCCTTTTAAAAAAAAAAAAAAAGATCAGGTCTAATGAGTAAAGGCCACTAAAACCGGCTGGGAAGCCAAAATGCATTTCTTACATAAAAATGTACAATTCTCAGTGACGTTTGTATCACTTCTATACAAAAGGGTTTAAAAAGAACCAAACAAAAAACTCTGTGACCTTTGTGAGTGTTGCTATTTTAGAATTTATTTCCATAAGTGATTTTTTTCTTAAAGATGTTTAATAGTAATTCATATAATAAAGTCCTGTTGTACTCTAAACACTTGGGTGTATTTTGCCTTTTTGCTCCCATTTCTTTACAGGGGGGGAAAAAGAAAGGCATCAGGGTGGGGAGGGGAACGGCAGCTCTAGCCCAGCTCCAGCTGTGCCCCTCGTGGCTGCAGGTGCCCAAAAGCCACCCTGGCTCTTCGTCTCCCTGCTTGTGTTTGTTTGTGCAGAATTTGCATCTGAGGATTTTCTCAGGAAAGTGAGCGCCGTGGCAGACGCATCGCTGGTGAGCTCCTGTCTCCATCCAGGAACAAATTCCTGCTTCCGAGGTGCCTGTTGAGGGAGAGCGCGGGAAGAGCACCGGGAGCTCACGGACCCGGCAGGTCCCCTCGGTGCCTGTTGTGGGAGAGCGCGGGAAGAGCACCGGGAGCTCACGGTGAGCGAGCAGCAGTGGGATCCCAGGGCTCGGAGAAAGCCCTGGCGCAGGCGAGGATGCTTTGGGGATGCCTCATCCCTGTCCCTCCCTGCCTCACCCCAGCAGGCAAAGCAACGCCACCCCGAAGCACGGTGGGCGCACCAACACCAAGGGCTCTGCACCAGGGAAACTGCCCAGCACCGAGCGTGCTGGGGAGCAGAACCCCCGACCCAGGCTGGCGGGGCAGCCGTGCCCGTGGGTCCCTGCGGAAGCTCCCAGCACACCCGTAGCCAGGCCAGGCGTGTGGGGACCTGCCTTTCAGGAAAGAGCGGAAAAGGAAAAATGCTGCGGCTTACCCGCTTCGTTCTGAAAATAACAAGCCTCTCGGGGACGGGGCGTGTGAGCTTTCTTTAAACTGTTCCATTAGCTATCGCACAGCAACTCCTCCGCGTCTGTCAAGCAGGCAGTCTGGCTCCTTGGCGTTGTCTCCCAGCAGAATGGAAATACTTTATTACAATGAATTATTTCTGAAATACCTGTTATTTGTCTCCACATTTCCGCACCGTGTCGAGCTGGTGGGATGGCCAGGTCTGCGAAGTTGGAGAGTGTGGAGCTGGATGGTGTTGGTGGAATTGCTCCCGAAGGAGATGGTCCCAGCATCACTCCCGTAGGGAACTGCCTGCTCGGCTCTGGCCTTGGCTTCCCCTTCATGTTCCCTGCAATGGGCTGGAAAACTTGTGCTGAGAAACTCCTTGGAGGCTCAAAAAGCAGCACAGGGACCCAAAAGTGAGGGAGGGTCTTTGCCAGGGAAGGGCAGGTGCCCGTCAAGCCCCACTTCCAGGAGCTGGCCCCCCAGCCAGCACCCAAAACCTCGATCTCAAGCCCTTCATTTTGGGGAAGAGTAGGAGTTTTGGCCTGTCCCAGCTATGCTGTCCGTGAGAAATCCCCCCCCCAGGAGCAGGGTTAGCAAGGCAGCGTCTCAATGGGGGGCCGTGCACTGCGGGGACGGCTCCACGCCTCCCCTCGCGTGGGCAGCCCACCCCTCGCAACGGGAGGGTTGTTTCCCCGGGCCGCGGGGCATGGCGCTTTGTGGCAGCACTGGGCAGCAGCAGCAGGGCCGGGGGGCACGTGGAACACCCCCCTCCCTCGCTTGTGGGGCCGGCGTCTGCTTGCCCTGCACCAGCTGTCCGGGGGGCAGCTTTCAGTCCCTGGTGGGATTAGAGCTCCTCAGCCTCACACGTGGCTTGGAAACCTTCCCTGTGAGAGAAGATGCTGGAAAAAGTCAAGGCATTCTTGCCTTAAATGTCAAAACCCATCGAAATGCTGGAGAAACCCTGGATGGTGCCTTCCCGTGGCGGCCAAGCAAACTGTTGCGAGCCCGCGGGGGAGCCAGGGCTTTTTCAAAGAGCTGAAAAGCCCAGGGCCTGCCCAGTCCTTTGAGCAGCTCAGAGGCAGCCCTGGAGCGATCCCAGCAACTCCCTTTTGAATTCTTTTGCTCTACAGAGGCAAGGGTTTTTCCTTTCAAAACCGTGTCTTAAGAAAACCAGCAACTGAGAAAAGCCCAGGGCTGAAAACCGTGGTCAGGTGGCGCTGGACGCTGGAGGTGTTTTAGTCGGGCATTGAGTACCTGCTGGCTGTCAGTCCGCGGAAATTTACTGCTGGAAATGTACTGCCCCCTTCCTTCCCAAGGCTGGAAGATGGAAGGAGGGACGCATTTATTTTTTTTTTTCCCATCAGCTCATTCCCAAGGTAAGGGCTGCACCTAGTGCCCAGGCATCGCTCGCTGCCACGCACGTCCCCCAGGCCAGGCTGGTGGAAACGCTGACTGGGGGAAGGCTGTTTGCACAGGGCAAGCTGGGTGTAGCTGCTGGATTTTATAAATCGAGGTTAAAAAATACAGACTGGGGCTCTGTGCTGGGCAGCCAGGCACCGTCTGCTGCCATCTCCTGGGCCCAGCAAGCAGCGATCAGGCCACGGCACAACGCCCCGACAGGCCTTGTGCGAACAAATCCCACCTGGGCAGGACCCAACACCAAAAGGCGACCGGGGTGAGCCTGATCCTCCCCGCATCCCGCTGCCGGTGGTGGGTTTGCAGCCCAATGTCACCACCCGGCCCCAAGCCATGGGGACGGC